CAAGGAGCGGTCGAGAGCGGCGGTGTGTATGGCCAGGACGGACAAGTGGTGCGAGTTAGAAACAAGACAATAGTTTACGATCAAAATCATAATATTATATCTCAGACTGAAACGAGTACAGAGTATGGATCCTTGGGGCACGAAGGTGAAGCTGGCAGTTCTTTTAATACGTAAGTAACTTTGCTTTAATTTTCCAACGTGTGTTTCAGTGATTCTAAAAAACATAATGATAGTTAATTTTACTTCCTGTTCAGGTACGTGAACAGTCAAGCGGGCAACCAAAACCGAGGATCCGGGCAAAGCTTCGTTCACGGCTCGTGGTCCACGACGGAGACCGTCAACCCTGACCTCTTCAAAGCCGGCTCCAGCAAGTTCCGAGGGCAGTCCAGTGTCACCGTCGTGGGCGATGAGGACGAAGACGAGATAGGCGGCTTCGGAGCGTACGCCGCGAGCAACCCTAACAACGAATTCAGATTCGGTATCGCCGATGTTTCTGGAAGTCAAGGAAACCAAGCTTCAGGAAGTGCCCAAAGCGGCTCCGGTGGTTTTTCTAACTCTGGTCACCAGTCGAGCTACGGGAATGCTCAGAATTCTGGATACCAAGGCGCAGGAGGATACCAAGGAGGCAGTTATCAGGGAGGAGGCGCTTACGCTACCAGCGGCGGCAGCAGCTACTCATATTCTTCGCAAACAGGTATTTATAAGCAGTGCCGTCTGTCACAAGTTACTCGGAATAAGTTTTATAAATTCTGCACTGTTCTAGTCCTGTTTTAGCAGAATATGATTAGCGTTCTTTTATATTTAGGTGGCCAAAGCAGTTACAGCTCTCACTCGGGCGGCAGTTTCGGGGCACAGTCGCAGCGCCGCGAGAGCACCAGACGCCGTCGACAGGATCAGGTAAAGAAAAGTTGAAATTGCCAAATAGACATGGAGACTCGTAATATTCATTTCCACCGATGAACAAGACATATCACAATATAACATTTCAGGTGGATCTGGAATTGAAGGAGATACTACAGAAGTGCGAGGAGA